GTGCCTTACTAGTAGTAACAAGAAGCTACTAGTAACAAGGGCATTACATACACATAGTCCATGCCCTTTCCAATTGAGTGTCAATTGCAGCTTAGTAGCTTGAGGACAGGAACGCCTGTCAGGTTGTGGCTTGTGGGTGAAGCGGTGAAGCAACAGTGAAGCAACAGCCACCCCTGAGTTGCGATCTACTAGCCTAGCAGGTCTGATGAGTAAAGGTTCAAAGACATGATCCCGGTGTACCTGACACAACCCCGTATTGGGGCAACACACAGGACAAGAATCAAGAAAAGAATCTGCAGCATGCCTTCGTCCACCTCCTCACGCAGCATGTGAAGTGCACCCTTCTCAAATCGATTCTTTGGGCGTGGTGACTGAGTGCTAAAGATGTCCGCCCGCCGTCCGTGTTGACGGAAAGCAACAAAACCAACTCGAGTTGTTTGCTCAAGAATAAAAATGCAACTTGGCCAAATACCCGTTGCTTGAAACAGTAAACTAAGCCCAACTGTTAAACAACTGGAGCAAAATGGAGAGTGCAATGTTCTTCCGTCTGTTCCAGTTGCCTCAGCTCCGCTGTCTCAAGTGGTGACCGCATGTCTAGCCTTTCTTTTCAAGTCATATCTTTTCGTTTCGATTCCAGATCGGTTTCAAGTCACCTTTCCGTCTTCCTAGCGTTTAAAGCATGTTGTTTCCTTTCGAACCCCATTTTCCTGATATAAGGCAACCTTTCGTTTCATGTCACACTTTTTTGTGTTTGATTGGATAATTATAGTGACGGACAATCACTTAGAACATAGTCTTTTTTCGCAAAAAAAATGTCACATAGAACATGCCGAGGACCCAACACATAGAACAAAAAAAATGCGTTCTAAGCCTTGCGCTTAGAACAATTGAAATCCTGCACTTAGAACATGCATGTACAAGCCCCTAGTAGCATCCCTGCTCCTAGCAGCGATGCCCTTTGTTACTAGAAGCGAACCTTGTCCCTAGTAGTAAGGCCAGGAGCCCCTAGTAGCATCCTTGCTCCTAGTAGCGATGCCCTTTGTTACTGTAGCTTCTTGTTACTAGTAGTAAGGCCAGGAGCCCCTAGTAACGTCCTTGCTCCTAGTAGTGATGTCCTTTGTTGTTTGCAGCTTCTTGTTCCTAGTAGTATATAAGGCCAGGAGCCCCTAGTAGCATCCTTGCTCGTAGCGAACCTTTTTCCTAGTAGTAAGGCCGGGAGCCCCTAGTAGCATCCTTGCTCCTAGTAGCGACCCTAGAGCATTTCAGCCCAATCGCGTCAAATGTTTACCCAACCTTGAATAGTGGCGGACAAGCACTTAGAACAAATTTAGCAAAAATTAGCTCTGTTTGTTCTAAGTGATGGGTTTATCATGTTCTAAGTGTCAGGTTTTTGCATGTTCTAATCTAAGGTTTTGCAGCTCCATTTTCTTGTTTATCTCTCACCGATTTGTTCTAAGTGATTGTCCGTCACTATAATTGCTTCCCGTCACCCGAACTACCACAGTAAAAACAGTACAGTAAAGTCAGAAAAAAGAAAACATACGGTTTTCTTCGTGAAGGAGCATTGGTGATTAGCACGACAAAACCAAAGTTTATCAAGGCCATTGCAAAAACAGTAAACATCAAAATAAGTAAAAACTTATCGTTCTGTGAAGGGTCATGAGCAATTACAGTAACACAACTAAGGCTAAGGTTTTACCAATCTCCACGGTAAAGTTTATTTGTTTATCATTGTCTCGGTGGCAATCCAGTTGTTTTACGTTACGTTTGTTGCAGCATAAAGGATAATGATAGTTTCAGACAGTTGTTTCGACCAAAGTTTGCCAATCACATGTTTTAAGAATCAGCTTTTGAACAATTATTATCTTGGTAAGAATAGCTGGTTTAAAAAGTTGTTGGAACAAAAGCTTACCAATCTCCGCGGTACAAGTGTTTCATGCTTTCAAGAATGACTTTCCAAAATGAAACCCATTGTTGCACATGTTGCACAAATGATCGGCCACAAAAAAACGGCGGGAAACCCGGGTCCTCCGTCTTCTCCAGCGCTTCGGCCAAGGCCATCAAATTCGACAGCTCCGCTTCGGCCTCGCTGCAGAGCCGGTCGGAGCCGTTCCTAGTAGCATTCTTGTTACTAGTACAAATGCCAGGAGCTACTAGTAGCGTTCTTGCTCCGTTCGTAGCGATGCCCTTTGTTACTAGTAGCTTCTTGTTACTAGTAGGGTGCCTTGAAAAGAACTGGACAGCATCGTGGTCTTCTTTTTCTCCAAGGGGTCTCCTAGAAACAGTCTGAGTATGTTCCTGGCCGATGTCCTCGGAGTGAATATACCTCTGGGTCCTCCAACAGCCTCGACCCGGCGCTTGATCTCGCCCGCTTGCAAGTACCTCGTGTCTGGACACTATTCGTTTTGAAGAAAATTGCTTTTAAACAAATGTGACAATAATAATAATGAGCATTATATATATATATATGCACTGTTTCTCTCTACAAGTCGATGGGAAGAAGCTCTGGTTGAACCGACTCAACCAAAAAGAACATGCAGCTCGCGACCTCACCGACCCCACCGGCCGTCCTCGGTCACAGGAACGTCGGATGTCACTCGTTTCCCTCCCACAGAGGAAAAAACAGGACCACCCCGGGGGGGCAACCCACGGTCCAAACGAACTTTCTCCCGTTGCGGTCCTTGGGATTAGTAGAAACAAGTGCCTCGCTACTAGTAACAAGTGCCTTACTAGTAGTAACAAGAAGCTATTAGAGACAAGAGTGAGTGGTTGGGTTTGCTTTATTTGATTCTTGATTCTTGTTCCACTCCAAGGACTCCAAGGGGGGCAGCCCGGCGTCCCAGGTCTGGTGAGGCTCATGGGGGTCACCGCGCAACGTGGTGAAGAAAAAAAAATAGAAAAGTATAAAAAGCTGGGAAGCGGCATCTGAGAAAAGTTGAGATCTCGGAGGATGTACCAAATGGAGGACACACGGTCACCAAAAAAATCTGGTCTCTTAGTGCACTTAGAATCCCTGAAATCAGGTGCAGGCAGGCTGGCTTCATGTGCAAAAAAAGGACACCGCTCAATTGTTCCTAGATGGCTATCGTTAACTTGTGGAGGTACCGACGGACATAATAAGTGGAAGATTGGAAAAAATGGCTCCCTGGAGGAGAGTCAGTTTCACCTATCTCCCAGCAAGAAATTCAGCACCTCAATGGAAGAAAGAATGAAATCTAACATCCAATCTTTCCCATCTTTGAAGAAACCCGAACTTCTCACCTTGATAAGCACCACCCCATCCGAATTTTGTCACGCACTGGAACGAGGAATCGCTCCAAGGGCACTGTTCTTCCGCGATTGCCCGTTGCTTTTGCCTCCACAGTGAGAAGTGAGGGCTGCAGTCGCTGTGTTGCAACAGTTCGTCACTCATGTTCACCTTGTTCGTCAGGCTTCTGGGGGGCCAGAAAATCATGTGCACCTTACATTGGGTATCCACCTTGTACAAATCTCTTGGACGGATATCATGCCTTTGCGGCTTGGGTCGTGCTATGCCCTATGTCATAGCGACTCAGCCGTGAAACCGCACATGACCAGCCATCGCAGCGGTGTCGCAGTTCTTGACTCGTCGGGTTTTCGCCGGTTTCGCCGCACGGGCGCCCATTCCACGATCCCCGGCCGTTGCAACTCTTCGTACTCCGAGCGCGCCGCCTTGGGGGAGGGGTCCGACAGAGGGGTCAGACTAGCTCCAAAGGCTGAGCGCGACCGGTGGGAACCCAGCTTGCACAAGCGAAAGGGAGAAGGTACAAGGCATTGCCATGTGCCTTGTTGGTCAGTACAGCATGGTGCTTTGCATGACTACAAAACAAAAACGCTCTAAAAACAGGTACCCAACACAAATCCAACTCAAGAGAAAGGATTCTAGGACTGTCGTTGCACCAATGGTTGCTGAGACCATTGGTCAAACTAGTTGTGTCTGCGAAAACCTCAGTAGTATTGGGCGCTTTTCCCGAACCTCAGTGTGGTCTCTTGAGATATATGGTATATATACATCTTGAGACCCAAACCCAACATACTCCTTGATCAAGATACTGATGATCATCTGGTCCCACCAGTTCTTTCATACTTTGGGAAGTAACTCCCCCATGATCTCCACAAAAATCTAGGCTTTGATGCAAGTAGTCAATTCTCATTGACAAACACATGTGCACTTCTTCAGCCTTTGGTCTATCCAGTAGCTATTAGGTTGGAGGCCATCGCTCTTTGGTTGGAGGCCATCGCTATTGTTATTGTGTTGCTCCTTTCAAATACTCACGTCAACCTCTCCTCGATCTGCTGCTCCAGCTCGGTGGCCTCGTCGATGGGCCGCAGCTTCCTCAGTGCAGCCGCTCTGGTCGATGCGACAGCCGCTCTCGGTCTTGTTGTTTTGTTGTTTCCAACACTTGAGTGTTTTCTTTAGCTCTTTTGTTTCTTTTTTGGGTTCTTTCCGTTTCACCTTTACTTTGGTACCATGAAAAGAGAAAGGAGACAATGAGGAGTACAAGCCCAGTCATTGATGATGATGATGATGATGATGATGATGATGATGATGATGGCAGGAATCCATGGTGCACTCTTGTGAGGGGATCTTGGAGCTGACCACGTGTCATCCAAAATAACCGTTCTGAGGTCTGCTTTGAAGGAGGCCAGAGGTCGGCGGTGCCAGTCAGTTTGACCCCTTTTCAATCCTATTCAAGCAAGCTATGTGGGCAAAAACTCTTGGCACTACACTCCAATACAAGTGTAAAAGCAGTGTAACAAGAAGCTAGTAGTAACAAGTGCCACGCTACTGGGAACAGGTGCCTTACTACTAGAAACAAGAAGCTATTAATTTAAAGTTTTCACACAAGTCTTCGACGTTTTGACGGAATCCTGGCACTCCAATACCGCGATGGACCACAAAACAGCCTGTTTATTCCTGTGTGTCGGCCACACTGAGCCTCTGGCACACTTATGGCATCATCATCATGAACGTTCAAGACTTCAAAAGTCTGGGATTCGCTCGCTCCGGAGATTCGCTCGCAGAATGTGTCCCAGTGAACCATGCAGGATCTTGGGAGTAGAATCAAGCTACAAATTTTATTGTTTTCTGTAGATTGTAGATTGTTTTGGAATAGATATGGGAGAACGCACTAAACCTCTGTAGGGGAAGTGAAGATCTAGAATCCCATTCTGTATGGTAGAACCTCATACAATGGCCAACTGAATTTTCATGGACAAGCTGGCGGCACTCATGCTATCTAAAATCCAAGCTATCTGCATCATGATAGAGCTGTGCCAGGGTTTTCACATCATTTGGCACATTCATCAAGCAGTGGATTTGGTGTATCAAGTCTCAAGTAGATCTAGTGAAGTAAAAAGAGGACGGTGTTGTTCTCTTTACCCAGAAATGAACAGCACGATCTTCGCTGGTCGGGGAACGTCGTAGTTCTTCGCCAGCCAAGCTTTGTCGATCGAGCTGAGATGTTCCTTCGCCATGAGCCTCGGCGGGAACCGCCGCAGCACTGGAACAGGTCCAAAATGGAGTGACATCAAAGATCTCAAAAACTCATAGAAGATCGCATCGTCATCGACTCCTGAAAATGTGTTTTTCTCAACTTCTTTGATGTCTTTTTCCTCTTCACTCGACTGAGAAAAGGGCACCCTAGAGATCCAATTTCACATGTCCAATTCGGATTCACCCAGAGCCATCGCTGAACATCGCCAGAGCCCCGCCCCCACCTCTGCAGCTCTGGATCCCGATTCACCTCACTGAGAAGCAGAGGCCTCGCTCGGTGTTTCGGACGTCGCACCGATGGGTAGCATGCGAGGGCCTCGAACGAAGACTGGCAAGACTGGGACCAGCCAGGAAGGTGCAGCATTCCAGGCTTCAAGTGCAAGCGTAAGTTCTCAAACAAGGAAGCATACTGAAGAGATGAATATCTGTGCCCTCCGCAACATCGACTGTTCGCTTGGACTCTCTCAGGTTACAGTATCGTTTTACTCATAGACTCATAGATTCCATGAATGCAATGGCGCTGAAGATGAGGGACCACTTTGTTTGGGGGGCGAAAAATGAGAGGAAACATGCATGAATGAAATCAAATCAAGGAACTCACCCGTGACCTTTTGTGGAAAGGGAAAGCATTGACGTCAGGCTTGGCCCAGAGACACCGAGTCTTCTTGGAATAATTTGGGGGTGGCATCATGTCAACGCTTTCACTGGAGGTACATGCAGAGACTCTGTCTATGAGTCTGTTTCAGCAGGTTCCCAGCAAGTTCAAAAGAAGTTCTGTCGCGACGGCCAAATCAACAAGGCTGGTCTTGGACCAATCCCAAAGAATCTCAAAGAGTATCTTGAAACCAGATCAATATGCAAATACTGTCCACATGTTCGCAGGTACAAGTCATCAATCACATTCCTAAACTTGTCAAAACCATCTGACCGAGTCAAGGCCGCCTCTGAGCATCCGGACTCCGACCGCGTCAGCATTGAGCATAAGTGTCGTTGCACCTGTCTTTCGCTTCGTCACACGAGTCCCACGCGGCGCGCGGAGTCCCCCTGCGGAGTCCGGAGCCCCGTTCCCCCCAGAACGGGCTCGCCCGGAACGTCCGGCGTCGGCCTCTTTTCCTCCGCTCCGCTCGGAACGAAGCCAGGCTTCCCAGACCAAGAGCCCGTCGGGAACGAAGTCCCAATCCTCCCAAGTCTCTCCTCGCTCGCGGGAGAGAACACAGCGATCCAGTCACAGCGAGAGGCTTCCAATTCGCGATCACGGTCCACAACCACCGGGGGAAAAGCGGAAGAAAAATGAGAAGAGGAACGCCTAATACAGTAGTTTGTTTTGAGTGATCTGTGTCTGTGACACGTTGAACAGCGCAACATTGTAGAGTTGTAGCAAATATATATATATATAGCAAAATTGCAGATTGTGAGAAAAGAGTCCTGATCAACGCCAAGCCTTTCCGTTGCACTTTCTTGGCACTGCTGCGTCACAGGGAAAATGGACGAAAACTGGATTGATCTGTATCTCTGAACATGGATAGAAAAATTGACGGAAAAAAAAGTATAGAAATAGATGAGCATTTTCCGATCCATTACATAAGCCCTTTTGCTTGAGAAGGACACCAACTCTTCGGATTTGGATGGCCTCCAACCTAGAAGCAATGGCCTCCAACCTGCTAGCGATCGCCTCCAACCTACTAGTGATGGCCTCCAACCTGCTAGCGATGGCCTCCAACCTCCTAGCGATGGCCTCCAACCTACTAGCGATGGCCTCCTCCTCCACTTTTTTCTCTGAGTCTCCGCTGGAAGAAGTCACTGCTTGGCATGTCTCCACGCTGATCTCCCCACGTCCTGAGGAGCTGTTGGGAGATCGGGTTCTGTGTCGAATCCGAATCCAACCACGAAAGGGAAGGACGAGGTTTGTCGAAAAGCCATGGGAAAACACACCGAAGAATAACATAGAATTTCTAGTAGCCGCTGGTGTCCCTCTCGCAGACCTGCCAAAACTGTCGAAAATGCCTCCAAAACTTCCACGACCCAAACGGTGTCAAACTCCCAAAACCTGAAACGTGCTGAAAAGGAAGAACATGTGGCAATTAAAAAGTGAAGGGAAAACCCTAGACAAACGGGTGAGAAAAATTTGCGATCGGCCCAAACACTCGTTTCCCAAGGATCTGGGCGACTGCAGCGCGGGGCTCTGCCCAGGCCACGCCTGGATGGCCTCCAGCCGCGCCATGGAGCGGTCAGCCGAAGCCTCAACCTGCGCCTCAAGCCGATGCAAAAACGCGAAGGACAAAAACCTCCTGGACAAGTCGTTTGCTTTCAAATAAACCTAGGCAGGTGCAAACTGGACATAGTTTTGAAATGTTTTGAACATACATTGAAAAATATGTCTGTTTGCACCTTGCTTTCTTTTTTTAGAAGCTTCTTCCTGAAAGCTTCTGCGGAGGGTTCTCCTTGAAGAACAGCTACCAACATCTACCAACTTCATCTTCCATGTCAGCACCTTCATCATCAGCATCATCATCATCATCATCATCGTCATCATCATCATGTGTAGATATATGTATGTAGATATCTGCGTATGCATTGAGTGTACAAAAATGTAAGTTGACAAAAACGTAGGTGATCAGATTCGTGGCCGGCGCAGCACTTCGGTAACAAGAAGCTACTAGTAACAAGGGCATCGCTACTAGGAGCAAGGACGCTACTCGTAGCTCCTAGCCTTACTACTAGGAACAAGAAGCTACTAGGAACAAAGGGCATCGATACTACAAACCTCAAAGTCCAGATTTTGTGGCAATTGCAACACTTTGTCTTCACGTGTGTTCTCTTGTATACGTGTACTCACACATATATGTGCTCTCTTGTGTGTGTGTGCGCGCTCTCTCATATTTCTTCTTTCATCTTTGTGCTCTCATGTATGGTCCCTAGGAAGTGTCCTTATTCATCCTTGTGTTGTTCTATTTGCCTGCCGGTATCATGTCATGATGCAAAACATCAATGTGTTCAAGACTCAAAGATTTGCAACAGGAAAGGGGATCTACCAAGTTGCATAGGGCACGAAAGCTCCCCAGGCCACTTCATCAGCTTGCCAGGTGATCATCTCACTTTTGAGATCCATCGTGTATGAGAAGAGGTCCACCACGCATCTGTTGTAGGCAGTACAAACCTGAACCGGACAGGAGGTGCTGGTGACAGTTGTCAACAGTGCAATCTAGAAGTTCACGGTCAATGAATAGTGGCTCACATGCCCCCTGAGCCGAGTTGCATGTGGCATCAACGACTGTTGTTCGCCGGCTATTTAAATTGTCTAGGTTCTGGCAGACCCAAAATAAGCAGGGTTGCCCACGAAGCCACCGGGGGTAGCTCCTTGAAAATGAAGTCCGAAGTGCAGGCTAACACCGTACGGGTGAGCTTAACCACTAGCCCAGAAACCGCACATCGAAGAAGTCGTAGAGAGAGATGCTCTTCTTTCGTCCTTACTGCCACAGTTGCCCAGTTGCAAAAACCACTGTTTGATCGTGTACTCCCTTGGGCATCCCTTTGCAGGCCCGTCATCTTAAAAGAGGAGGAAAACAAAAGTAACACCAACAACTCAATGCTGTGGGTGCACAACTCACACCAGGACTGGTCACCGCGGTGACGGTTCACCGCCGGGGACGGAAAGAAGGAATCTAGAGAAGTAAAAATCGAGTGCCCAGTGCTTGGAGGTTCCTCTCTACTTACACAGCCGAAAAAGATGCCCTTGGCCCATGGCCCACTTGATCTCCCCTTCTCCACGCGTCAATCCCAGCTCCTCCGCAACCTCTCGCCAAGCCGTCCTCCGTGGCTCCTCGCCAGCCGTTGAGATGCCGCCCACGAACATGTCCTCCGTTTCCAAATGGTGTTTGAAACATCCGGGAGAACCCCGAACTCCCACGAACATGCTGGGGTAGACCGGTCTATTTCCTGGTTCCCGAACCGGGTTGTTCAATGTCTGGGAGGTCGCCCGATAATTCTCCGACACTAGGAACAAGTGCATCGCTTCTAGTAACAAGTGCCTTACTAGTAG